GGGAGAAGAGGACGCGTGGTGCCGAGACGGGGCGTGGCGGGGCGTGGCGGGGCGTGGCGGGGGCACTTTTGCACATCTCATAAGGCGTCGTGCCGATAGGCCCTTGAGCCGGGCGCTTAGCGCCGCTCGGTTACGTCACCGGGGCCTCTGCTGGAGCCACTGAGAGCAGCAGCAGGAAGTGACGTGCGGCGCCCGCCCCGCGCGCGCACCGGACCTGCTGGACTAGAGTCCTGCCTGGCCAGGGCCGCGGATAGGGGTGGGGGAAGGGGGCTGAGCTGGGGGTGGCGGACGGGCCGGCGCCGAAACGATACCCATCCATGGGTGTCGGAAAGATGGTTTTGTAAATTGGTGGTGCCATACCTACCCGACCGTACTCGTAGTTGGGGGTGATTTTTCGTGAGTTCAGAGACATAGCCGTCGACTGGTCTCCATACACCACAGCTCGCTTAAGAACAGGGGCCACGATGCATAAGAAGAGAAAAGTTGACGTACGACAGTTAACTCCGTATTGCACCCGCAGATACAAAACCGAACGGAAATCTTCCGAGTCATGGATCCCTTATTCGAAGGGACAGATCAAACAGGTCTTTGTGGCCCAAGTGAACTTCGTAGACCAAACGGCAATTGACACGTCAAACGTCCTTCAGCGCCCCCCACATTCAAAAGTTTTCTGCCGAAGTATACCAAGTCCTTGCTGGTTCAGCGCCTGCAGCGCACTGGGTAGGCCAACCCGCAGAGCAGCTGTGGGGAGCCGGCGGCCCAGCCTGGGACCGCCACAGGGGTTCGGGCTGCTGAAGACAGCAGGGACAGGACAGGGAGGAGACGTTTGGCGGCCATCGTTTCTTTCCTTTTAACGTTCTCGGGAACATCATCTCATCACCTCTGGGAAACATTGACCAACGTAATTTAGCTCTGTTGTGCAGGGTGGTAGAGGATAACGTTAGCATAGGCGGATGCTCTCTTGTCGGCTGCTCCCGGGCTCAATCATAAGTCGCGCACCACTTTGGCTCGAAATACAACTGTACAAATGTGGCAAGCGTTCCGCAAAGGGCAAAAGTCAAAACTCGCTTATTGAAGCCAAGCCTCTCTGATCCTGCCCCAAATCGAATCTAGCCCGGCACCGACCGATTCTCGACTGTTTGACTTTGACAACAAGAACAACAACAAAAACAAACAATAACAGACAGCAGACAGCAGTTGTTGTGACATATTGTTCTCCCCCGCAGTCATTGACGGAGGCGAGTCGTTCGTTTTATTGTTTGTCATAAGTTGACATGTCGTTGTAGAACATAAATCAAAGTCTGTAGGTCTAGTGCATTGAAGTGTTTATTTCTTTAGTCGCTAGTTTCCTCACAGTAAGAATGGATGAACTGACTGCTAACTCTCACAGGTTAGGGTTTATGTTCTTACCTAATTTTCTTTAACGTTTGATCTTTGTGTTTGTAGTTTTAGTCAAGCCAAGTCTCAAGGAAAGCTCGACTAGCCGCGTGATAATGGAAAGCCATTTTTGCTTTCAAATCTTGAACCTTCCTTTCAAAATTTTGCTGGTGACTTGATTGAGACAAACCCATTGGTCTACCTGTATTAAAATAGTTTTTTCCCCATAGATTGGTTCACCTTGATTTAAAGGGAGCACCACCCAAGCTCTCGTATCTTGAGAAGGTAAAATTTTGTGCTCAGTGGAGCGTGTAAATCTTATCTTTGCTCCACATACGTCTTGTTTTCAACACATCTATTATGTTGTTTTTCAGCTTATTCCACTTTTTAAGCAATGGGGTGCTACAGGGCTGCTTATAGAGTGGGAAGATACTTTTCCATTTCACGGAAGTTTAGGAGTTGTTGGATCTAAGAAGGAATCTGGTAGACCCTATACTGAGGATGAAATAAAACGAATCCTGTTCTTGGCCAAGGAGTGCGGACTTTCGACCATCCCATTGGTTCAGACTTTTGGTCATTTAGAGGTAACTTGTTCTTTTTAAATCTGTTCATCCTTCTTAAACCTAAGGACAACAAGTATTGGAGCTTCTAATTCTTTAGATAGTTATATACTATAATCAAGAATAAGCTAGTTAAATTATTGAATTTATTCCTGCCCAACATATGAATAAAATCATTTCAATTTTTGTTTTCCAGTTCCTCCTTAAACACGAAGAATGGAGATGCCTACGAGAGGTGTCAAGATATCCCTCATCAGCTTGTCCATCACATCCTAACACACAAGACGTTATTTGGGAACTGGTGAAACAAGTGATTGATTTTCATGTAGATAATTCAGATCTTCAGTATCTCCACATAGGGGCAGATGAGGTATGTAACTACTTTTCACTTGTTTTAAAACCAACATTCTCTCCCTTGCTTACTGGTGCTTGATTTTATTGCAACATATCTAGGTTTGGCATCTAGGACTGTGTGAAATGTGCTTACAACGCACAGGAAACACCATAGAAGGCAGAGGAGAATTATTTTTGGACCATGTTTTATCTATTGCAAGAAGAATTAAGGAGACTTATTCCAAATTAAAACTTATTATGTGGGATGATATGCTCAGAAGCATCCCTAATGCAGTTCTTAAAAGTGAGTATTTAACTTTAGTATCAAACAATAGCTCAAAACTGAAGAAAGAATAAAGTTAATAGACTAGTTTTAATAATTAATGTTAATGTTTTCTTCTTTTTAGATTATGATCTTGGACAATATGTGGAGCCTATGGTGTGGCTGTATTTTTCAGCAGAAGCTTTTCAACTTCCTGATGGTATGATATCAAATCAAAGATACATAGTAGTGGTAGAGTTTTCCTCAGATTTCTTCTAAGGTCTTACTTTTGTTTAGGACTCTGGGAAAAATATAGTTCAGTATTTTCTTCAGTTTGGATAGCTTCTGCCTATAAAGGAGCAACAGGCAGTTGTCAGCAGCTACCTATCTTACCTCATCATGTGTCAAACCATGAACGCTGGCTGAAGGAACTCCCCATTATTTCATCTAAATTTGACACTTTCCGAGGCATAGCATTAACTGGATGGTCTCGGTATGTCTTACATTTCCTACATGATACAGTAAAAGTTACCTCACTGAAAAACTCCCTTACTTCATAACATATTTTTAAAACCCCATTCCAGGTATGATCACTATGCAACATTATGTGAAATGCTGCCAGTTTCTCTACCCTGTTTAGCAATATGCTTACGCACATGGCTGAATAATGGGTTTTCTATGCAAGATCTTCAAAGTGTTGCAAGAGCTTTAGGATTTTCAGACTCTGTTCTTATGGGGATGGACTCTCTTCCAAGGTAAATTTGTACGGTCATTGTGGGTCATCATTAGCGTTGTTATGTCATGCTGTTGCCATGTATTTTTTTTGGTCTTTGTCAGACCGAGACCGATTCCAGCTGAACTGTCATTTCCTGGCTGGAAAGCTCTATCAAGCATGGAGTTGTTTTGTAATCTGGAGCATCAAAGCCGGATCCACCTTGATAGTAGCCAGTAAGTGTAGAATATAATTTTTATCTGTTGATATTGCTAAAATGCAGAATCCTTGTCAGATTTCTTCAAGCCAAGTGTCTTTATTTCCCTATTCAGGATTAAAACATGGTTGAATCCATGGCAAATCAAAAATAGCTTTGGAAATCCAATGCATATCGAAACCTTCATTCCACCTCTGACCCAGTACGTACTAATATTAAATTTGTATTCTCTGTCACACTAGATTTGTAGAGTCTCTGTGTAGGACTCTATAAATTTGTCGTCTCTTCAAATTTTTTTCTCTTTACAGACTACTTGTTGAACTTGGAAATGCAGAAAGATTTTTACGAGAAAGTTTAGAGCCTCTCATCTATCCAGTTGCAATAGAGGAATGGGTTTCGACTTGGATTGATCCCCTGCGAGAGCAGGTTCAAAAGCTTGTGGATGATGCCCGAGCACAGCTTAAAACTGAAGGTCAAGGACAGGAGAATACTTCCAGTGATAAACAACTTTTGTGATGAACTTTTTTATTTATTTTTTGACCTAGAATCTGTCTAATAAATGTGAGAAAAAGGTACATTTTTAGTGTACTTCTTTGTTGTACCCCAGAAGACTTGAAATGTTGTTGACAGGACCCAACAATGCTACATTAATAACAATGCAAAGATGTCATGGTGACTCCACACACAATTGTTCCTTATCTCTCTCTGGTCGTACATGTAGTACATGTACTATTAGTTCTAGTACTTAATAGAATTTTATTCACTTCCCTCTTCGTACGAGTTTTCCACCTCTGAGAGCACATATCAAACCACAACTATGAATGAAACAGCATGGATGTCTAAGCATACCTACACTCCTAATCAATATTCTTATTTTAAGCTTGAGGGAGAAGATCCTAACAAAGCAAAACTACAACATCTGGCAAGGAGCTACTACTCGCTTTAATGATTTAATGGCATTCCTGCAACATCTTGAAAAATACAATGTTGTTTTCACAGGAGGAAATGTATGAGGTGATGATGCGAGTTCAGAATCAAAAAGTGGGTTACTTAAAAACGGCAGTATTTGAGTTACAGGTACTTTGCTAGATTTGTCAATGGTGGCTTCTAGCGCCGCTGTCAGTCTCTTTTATGTGATTAAAAAAAAGAATTATCCGCAAATCTGTACCTGGCTTATTTTTTTGTTAGAGGCAAAATGCAGTGCTTATTAATGAAGTTATTCGTTGCAACAGCAGAGAATGTGTTGATAATTCTGAGTAAGACTTTAATTTATGGAAACAAAAGTGATCCCACAAAACAAAGTAAAAAATTAGAATGTCAGCCCACTTTGTTCTCATTTTAGGAAACGTTGTTTTGAGCTGATTGACTCAGTGAAGCACCCAAGAGAAGTGTTAGCACCAAACTCAGGATACTTCCAAAAGGTCTTAAATAGTTGAATAAATTTGTCGTGGTTTTGAACAGCAGAGAAATGATCATTCATTTATTTTGTTAAAACCGTAGGTTTTGGACTTGGAGCAAAAAATAACACAACTTGAAGAAGAATTAAACCAGCACAGAAATTTGGTCCAACACCAAGATTTGCAAGTTAAGTCTCTACTAAAATCCAGACAGAAGCTAACAGATAGATTTCATAAAGAACTTGAATTACAGAAGAAAAAGGCAGCATCTGAGGTGAATCCAAGGAAATGATAATAATTAACAACAAAAATCTTGGTTACTTCTGTTTTTGATTGACCCTTTTGTGTAGGTGCAAGCTGCTCTACTGGAGGAAAAAGCAAAACATCTATTGATTCTGGCCAACCAAGGAATTGAGAGAACTAAACAGTTTGAGACATCTATATCAACATTTTACGATAAATTCCAAGATGTTTTGCTTGCTGCTCAAGCTAAAAACTCTCAAAGCCGTCATGATGATTTGCAGGTAACCTTCATTTTTCTTTTTAATGACTAAAAGCAAATTGTAGGATTAGGGAAGGAAGACATATTTCTGGATGTTTCAGAGAATAATCGAGCTGGAGCAGAAATTGATATCATCCGTTACAACATTGTGAAGTGTGAAGCAAAATATTTTGAGATATAAAAAAAAGAGGAATTGTAATAATGGATTCAGATTACACAAAATAACATTAACAACCATCAGATTTATTCCATGATTTTCAGTTCATTTCATTTCATTTAGCATTTGTATTCACAATAAGACTTCCTAACAGTCTCCCAGTTAACTCATCACTACAGAGTTAGATAATTTAAACTCATGAAAATTTACAACAAATGTCAAGTTTGTATATTTTTTTTAAAGATATACTGAAAGCTGCACAGACCCATCGCCAAAGTCATGTGATGAGATTATGATTTATTTTATAAATAACATCTGTTGTACTTAGATTTGTCGGAAACCAAGAACATTAATGAAATTAATTTAGCGATCAACATTGATGCAATTTTCAAAAAATGACCTTTTTGATGTTATTTAAAACATATATTACAGATGTATTTGACTCTTAGCACACACAACTGTAGGTCAGGGTCACAGAATTTCTCCCAACAAGTTAAATTAAATTGATTTCTTTTATGATACACAAAATTTACTAGGCACACTCGCCCAAAATTCACAGTTCATTGAAACTTATCTAGTCATTGTAATACTCAAAGAAGTTTTCTTTTCAAAATTACATAATTAAGTCTAAATGGAAGGAGAAATAAAAGCAATTCCATAATTTAATACCTTACCACATATATTAGTTTCAGTCAACATTCAAAATCATTTGTCTTATCATTGTGTCAATTATTAATGTAAGTCACAACCATTATCCTTCACTTCTTTCCTTTGATACGCAGGAATAATTTTAGATTTTGACAGGTTGACTGGGACCATTCCCATAACCAAGTAAGCTTAATGGTCAAAAGATATTGCGTTGCTTGGCTCATACAGGGGGTGATGTGAAATTGATGATTCAGACAACAAAGGACAAAGGACTACATACCTAATTTATGTACAACAAAGTTAACACAGAGCATGATAGGTAAAACATTACGTATCAGTAAGCTACGTTGTCTTCTTCATATCGAAAACAAGTGTGCAAAGAAAAATATCACAAAGCACAGAAAATTTTCCATTGAACGTATACCACCTAACTCTCAATGATTACAGAGATATAAGGATGTCTGTAAGACAGAGGAAATACCATCCACTGATAGACCAACATACAGAAAGGTGCCAAAAAATGGCTAAAATCAAAATTACACAATCAAGTAAATAAATATAATCCTGGTAAAGTTTGCATTTGGGCACTAATGACACAGTTACATAAACTACCTGCGTAAATGGTAAACATATCAAAATAATAACAAATGTTATTTTGATATATCTACATCAGAAAAAGCCAAAGATCTTTGTAAAAGGACACCTTTCCTACAGAGAATAGGTACAATAATCAGTCACTTATGCATATAATATTGAAATATGAATTATCACAAAGAAGCAGCAAAAACCTGCTGAAGAAACTCTGAGAAAAATTAGAGCTCTGTCATGTCATTAGGCATAACAAAGCCTCACATCAGCCTCATATTATGACAATCTCATGAACATGCGCTAACTCACAGTGAGCAAAACATTCACAGACTTGTAACAAGAGGATTAAAAGTAAAACAAAACCCAAGAGTTTTATACTGGTAGCAAATGCTTTTGAAGCAGTTTGCACACTATGTTGGGAAGTTTCATAATAGGCAAAAACGCCACACATGATTTTTACAAACTGAGAAACTTTGATCTCATTTAAAACATGAATATTCAATGTCTTTGATGTCTTGTATTGTGTACCCAGGTCGCCTGCGTCCTAGGGAGTCATATTTAACAGATTGACGTGGCTTCACTTCACTGAAACTCCATCAATTTCTTGTGATAAAATAGCAAGTATCTGAAACAAAATTTAGACAAAATAATAGACATGAACAAATATAAGACACTCTAAACATTGAATTATGTCCGAAATTATGATAAGTACCCCATAAATTAAGTTAATTACTAACCCTTCACTGTCTAGGACTTCCTGGAGATTTGCCTTGGTTATCATATGATCATCACATTTAAACCAATGATTGTTCTGCTGCCTTACATACGCTGTATAGTGACCAGCATCCAATGTTCCAAGATGATTAATTACAGCAAAAAGTGAGTACCTGAGAGTATTAATTTTTCAATGACAAAGTCTTAAGAAGGATAGTGTGGTACAGGTACATGTTTTAGACCAAATCTTCACCTGTTATCAGTTAAACTGAGTGATCCAGATCCAGAACTGTTCCATTCACCTGCGCTGTCACTACTGCTACTGCTACTACTACTAGCTCCACTATTGAAAAGATTGCGATTGTTACGATGATTTGACATAAAAGGAGTCATGTCTAGCTGCTCAGGAAATGATATATAAGTTGATATCTTCTTATGAAGACGGGAAGAGTGCTCAAATCTCTGAAAATTTTTATGTTGATATGAGTTTAGACAGATAGAGATAAACATATGATAAACATAGATAAACATATGAAAAACCATTAACAGCAAAGCCCAAATACCTTGAGATGGAAACTTGCAACAACAGGCAACTTTTTCATTGTGAGCTGCTTTGTAGATTCCTGATAGCTCTGACAGTTATTGCACTTTATTTTAGCAGAAGAACCTAAATGTTCAGCCCTTGTAAACCTTTCTAAACAATCAATAAGGGTAGTTGGACCACTATTGGTCTGCTTGGACTGTTCTCCTGATAAGGCAAGATCTGAACCCATAGATGTGTTAAATGAGCTGTCATCGCCAATGTTATTTCCCCCTCTTCCAAGATCTAATGAGATATCCCAAAATGGATCTATTGTTGTTGATACTCCTCTGAAAATTGACGAAAGAAGGATAAGTGGGGTCAAGAAAATCAGATATCAATCAATTCAAAGTTGTGATAACTCATTAAACTTACTTGCATGCCTGGCATACAACATCTGATTGTAATCCTCCAGTAAAAATGGTATCAATAATACATGAGCACTGGTGAGGATTATCTCGCTGTGAATTTTCATTTTCAGGCAGTGCTGGTGCAGATGCTTTGCAATGTCTATGCAACACGTCTAGAGTGGCAATGAAGAACTCGTGGGCATCCTGCTGTTCATACCCAGCTAGATGACGAGCATGTGTCCAAATCATATGCAATAGGCGGTGAAGAGTAAGAGGACCTTTGTTACCAGAGTAGAACTGAAATTATAAAATGATTAGATGTTTAAAAACTTCAGGCACAACACACTGCTGTTCACAGAACTACATGACAACTATGACACACCTCCTGGAAGAGTGTTGATACTTCACAAACTAAACATCCAGGTTGATCTTCAGGACGGCAAACATGCTCTTCAGTTAGAAAGTGATCTCGCAGTAAGGGTGTGTGAGTTAGAGCTTGCACTATGCAATTCATGAAGCAGGTGTTTCCAAGATTAATGAGTCCTCTAAGACCTAGAAGACATTTGAAATATATTTACGATTAAAATACTGCAATGTATAATTGATAAACTCAAAGTTGATGTGTAAAAGATATTACCAATAGCAACACCTGGTACAATTTTACGCCGTTTAGGATTTTTTCTTAAAAGCTCTAAGACTTTTGTGGATGGCTCCCATGGTCTGTAAAGAGCTCCCATTCCTAATCTACTTCCAGCCCGCACCATCAGTTCATGAGCAACATTGAGGAGGTCGTCATCATAAACATAAGTACCACATGCCACACATAGGACATTTCCATGAGACAGCTCAACAGCTGAAAAATACGGAGAATTTATTTATTAGCTAGCAATACTTGTTAAGCATTTACTGTGGACTAATGAAAAGAGTGAACATACCAAGATAATGTTTTTTATGCTTAGCATGGTCTTGTATGTGGTGACCATTGTAGCATCCAAAGTAAACACAATTCAAGCAAGAGTGCAGTCGATAATCAACACTTTTGCAAACAAAGCAGTAACAATGTATTGCCTGGAACGGGGAAATATCATTAATACTCAGTTCTGGTCAGGGTAAGAAAACATACAGTTTGATACAGTACGAGTAGGGGTTTTCTGACAAGAAAGGGCACCTTACACACATGAGTGCCATGGGAAATAGTCCTGACATAATGACAGACTATATGCGAAGAAAAGAAGCATCTGACATGTGAGTCTACTAGGAGGTTATTCACCCTCCAGACAGACTATATGAGCTTCAATGACAGTTCAACTCAAGCTTGGAGCTGTCACCCAACAGTTCATAATAACAATAAAAGGTTCAAAATTCATCTTAAAAAATCTAAATTCTAAATGTCACCGCTTAAACGTGATATTAATGAGTAGGGTGTATATGCTTTGTTTTCATCGTCCCAATGTCTTAATTTTTTGACATATGTAGATGTACGTCAAATGGACCGTAAAGTTAAGAGGCTGCTTGAAGGATTTCGTTAGTGGATTCAAATTACACTGCTGGAGGAAAATAAAGTGAACTGTCATCGTCAAACCGCAGCGAACAGACGCACCTTCCTTTTCCTTGCTACGGAGTTGGAGGCTGCAACGAAGCTGGAAAAGATAATTCTGTATAATTCAACACCTTTCGATGCTTTGATTTCTTGTAGATGTGGACATCCAATGTCACACATTCTTCTGATTAAAATTCCGCTCAGTAGAGCAGAGCAAGACTATTTATTTTCTTGCGTTCTCTTTTTTCCAGCACGGGTTCGTGTGCAGAGATTTGGCTACTGCTCGCTCTTCGGCGAGCCGAACACTGGCACAGGGCAGGAACAGAGGAAGGCGGCCGTGCCACTACACACATGTAAGAACTTTCTGATTGGCTGTTCGCCAGTTACCGAGCTCCAATCATTAGGCACTTCAAAAGATACCCCAGCATGCTTTGCGATGGCAGAGCCTTAATTCTCTCTGTTAGCGAGCTCTAGCAGCAGAAGCGGCAGCAGTAGATTTCCTCCTAGGCAGGCAGTGTGTTTCTGTTTGTACCAGCGTATGGTCGTACGAGTGTTTTGCTTTCACATATTTTACTGCGAAATAAAGTTGGCGTTCTAAAGGTGCTTGGATGAATTAAATGTTTGAACGGTAACAATTTCGAACTCTTTGGTGTCGTTTAAGGACGGCGTGCTGTACTCCAATATAGCTTCCTTTTATTCCAAACGTACTGTATTCCATTAAATAGTTGATTGAGATGAGTACTGTTTCTGTTTACCAGTAATCTTTGTTGTGTTTTAAACACACCTGTGCCCAGCTTAAGTGTTTTCAGTCTCTTTGAGGTTATCTTTTCATAGGCTTAAAGTTTTAGTTAAATTTTCTTTTTCTAAAGTTAACCTGTATGCTGATTATGCGTCGTTTGAGAGAAGTGACAAATCACAAGTGTTGTGCTGATTCATTGAACTTTGCCCTGAACGTCTTTGCTAATTAAGTGTGCGAATCAATTCTTATATGTTGGGTGTGCTTCATTCAGTGCTGGATAATCCAATCTACATCTCTTCAATCAAATAAATCAACCAACTTAAAAGGTAACGTAGATTTATGACTGATATATTAAATGATTTGCATGATATAGCTAGGACTGCTTGCATTTGCATCTGCTTTTAATGTTGGTTTGTGTGTCACAATAGCTTAGCTTGGCCTTTTTGAGCAAACATGGAAAGTTATAAGTAAATTAAGTAAATTTATGCTAACAATTACTTTTTATTTGTAATCGCCATTCAATTTTTACTCTCGTGTTGATGTGTTAGTTGGTGTATTCATGCTTGATGCTTTTTATGCTTATTCTAATACTATTTGTGTAGAAGCCAAGATACCTAAATGGCAGAAGTTTTTGTTTTTTTTTAAATATAAATTTCATATTTAATTTTTTAAGATAAGAGCCCAATACGCATGGTGGCTCATTTTGAATTTTGAAGTCCGACTTGTAAGTTGTACTGGACTTCTACCTAAGAGTTTGGCCTTTACTACATTGGGCTATTATATCTGAGAGTGAAGATGCCTTTCCTCCCTCTCGGGAGGGCAATGGCACGTCATATATACCATGGTCTGCTGGGCCGGCCCCCTCTAATCACCTGCGTCGCGATATGCGGCTGATGAAGATCACCTTGCTGAACAACCATCCCACGTTGTTCTTGTGCTCCTTTGCAGGTTGTATCACAGGTTGTTTCAGAGCGGACGCCGCAGTGTTGCGGGTTCGCCTAATCCCTTCGCTTCGCTCGTAAGGCGCTGTAGCCGGTGCCGTGTCCGCCGGTACCGGGTGTAACTGTGAATACGTAGCAGTGTTGCGGGTTTGCCCACTCTTTATACCCGTAAGGGGCCATGGCCCCTGCGGCAATATTGAGTATGCAATCCCGCATCACTGCTGCGTATTCACAGTTACACCCGGTACGTAGTGGTTTAATTCCGGTTCCGATTGTATCAGGGAATAAACCTCGCTGTTGCAGGTTTGCCTCCCCCCTCCCCCCCCTCCCCGTCCGTTAGGCGCCACCAAAGCCCCCTTCGACCTATGGAAGGTTATGTAAACAGGGTGTATTATTTGATATTATTTGATACACCCGGTACATATGTCCGCTCACCGCTGAACATATTTGTATCTCGTCCAGGCGCCCCATCCCTCCCTCCATCGCGAGGGCGGGCTTCCCCGCCCATCCCCCCTTTTCCCCCTTTGGCAACCCGTTCGCCCCAACTCAGAGAATTGCATGGCGAGCGGGTATTCCGGCAGCCATAAAATCAGTCACAGGAAAACTGATTTCTCGTCGTTTGTTTTCCCTTTCCTCTGCCCCCTCCCCTCCCGGCCCCCGAACCTCTGCTACCCGGCTACCATTTCTTAACCGTCGAAAATTGTTACCCCCCCCCCCCGTGGGACTGCTCCTTTTCAGATGCCCCCCTTGCCATTGGGCACGAGTGACGGCGACTATGCGACACTCGACCGCCCTCTAAGGAAGGGTGGAGCATGTAACCCGGCCTTTGGAGAGCCTAGCAGCAGGCAGACGTCCCGGGCCGGGCCAGGCCGGCGCGGGGCTGCGCGGGGCGCCTCGGCGGGTGGGGCGCCCTTGGGCCCCAGTGGCACACACACTGTACAGTGTGGCGCCGCGCTCGGGTCGCCATGGCGACGGGTACAGACAGGGGAAAGGGTACGCGATGGGTGATGGGGCGCGCCTCGGCGGGCCCGGGCCCGGCCCAACACACCCCGTGCGCCCCACAGTGTGGCCCACACCCACACACGGTGGTTAAATGTTTGAGGAAGCGCGTGTTGGAAAAGAGGGGGGGGCGTTGTTGGCGTGTGCCCCAATCGATGGGCCGCCAACGGTTTGGGTGCGCTCATACCAGCAGCAGCTTAGACGGCCGCCGCGGAGGCGCCGATGACGTGCTGGTGCTGCACTGCACGCGCTGCAGCACGTCGCCGAGCACCTAGGAGGCTGCTGGTGGTGCCGCGCTGCACATCGGCGAGTGCGTCTTGCCTCTTGTAGGCTCTGGGGGTGTGGCTGCGGTGGCGCCTGGCGCCGGCGCCCTCCCCTTTCACCTCTCCCCTTTTCTCCGCGGTTGTTTTCGGGAAGCTTACACACCGCGCCTTGTCCAGTC